GACTTTTTTTTTTTTTTTTGCTGAGGCAATTGGGGTTAAGTGACTTGCCCAGGGTCACACAGCTAGTGTCATGTGTCTGAGACTGGATTTGAACTCACATCCTCCTGACTCCAAGGTCAGAGCTCTTTCTACTGCACCACCTAGCTGCTCTCTGAGGCCAGATTTGAACTCATGAAGAGGAGTCTTCCTGATTCCAAGCCCAAGTGCCCTATCCACTTTGCCACCCAGCTTCCCTTGTTGGGTTTTCAGACTTCCCATTTGGGTTAGAGATTCAGGGTTTCTGACAAATCCTAAATGATTCTGGTTTGAGACTCTGCATATTTGAAGTTGAGAAACCTGCCTTCTGGTTGCACCCTCCCCTAAAATTGTATTATTAGATTGTAAGCTTCTTGAAGGTAGAGACCCAGTCCTCTACCTCTGCATCCCCCAGCGGGCCTGGAAAGGTTAGTTCACTTGCATACATTTTGAGCCAGCCCCTATAATGTGCAAGGAAGGCCCTGTGAAGGCTCCTCCACAACCATGGGCCGGCACTCAGTCATCCTCTGATGAAGGTGAAATGATTAGGAAGCCTTTAGGAGTGGTGCAAAGCTCGGCAGATGTCACCATTCTGCCAGAAAATGAGCTTGCGAGCAGCTGACATTCGGGCCCTTCCATTTACGGGCTTGTCTAGGACTTGTTGGGCTCGGAGGGAAATCAAAATACTTGGATTTCTGAACCAGAATCTTTTGCACAAAAGAAAGGTTCCTAAATTCTTTGGGAGCAGTCCAATCTGCCTCCTATAAATACATTTTCAAATAGAACCTCTCCCTCAAGGATTAGACTCTCATAAAAACAATACTCCAGGGGCAAAGCACTGACAAGTGCATTTTTTACAAGCACATTCTCTCCCTCGGGGAGATGGGAAGGGAGCCAAACTCAGGAAGCCACTTGCTTCAGCTGCCCACAGGTATCATTACTCCGACCCACCAGCTTAACCAGGACCTTTGTGAAGCCCAGGACAAGTTCTAGGAGCCAGGCCCCACCCCCACCCCTCCCCCTACTTGCCTTGTACTGCTCCGACCTGACAACTGGTCTCCCCCAGCCCCATTGTCCACTAAAGAGAGAGATCTGCCAGATGTGCGGCACAGACAACTCATGGCCAGCCTGCAGTTGCTGCCCCACCATATCCTTGTTCATTTGGCTGGCACTTTGGTGGTATAATGACTGTATTCTTGAAAATGAAAGGCAGAGGAGCTGGCCCTGGAGGCAGGGAGCCCTGGGTTCCAGCTTGGCCTCTGATGGGCACATCCTAACATGGCAGACCGTGGCCAAGCGATTTTCCCTCTCAGTGGCCCTGCTCACTCTAAGACTAGACATTGGGAAACAGAGGCTCATCTCTCTGTATCAGTGGAGAGAGGTTCATTGGGAGTTACCCACACTGAAGAAATACCAGGGCCAGACCAAAAAAAGATCCCAATAATAGTAATTGTTTGGCCTAACGTCTTGCTTTAGGGCTTGCAAAACACATCTTGTGGGTAACACACGAGACCCCTGTTCTCCAGACAAAAAACCTGAGGCTCTGAGAGAGCAAATAACCTGCCCAGAGACATTGACCTAGTTAGTATTTAAGGTGGGATTTGAACCCAGCTCTCCTGACTCCAAACCCAGCTGCAGCATGCTGCTTTACTGGTGTGTAAATTGTAAAAATTAAAAATGAATGTAAATATTCATTTGGAGACTTCTGGATGTGAAAATGCCACGGGTCCTTTAAGAGAAATACTCATCAGTGCCTTGTGGGGGGGTGGGCTTCTGCTTGGCTGGAACTCTTGGGTCCTCAGTTTCCTCTTCTGCAAAATGAGGGGGAAAGTTAGCCTCACAATTCTAAGGATCCTCCTGCCATCCTGTTGCCCTAAGTTTTCCTTTCTGGACCTAGTTTCCTTCCCTGGAAAGTGGGGCTGGGGATATAGAACTTGATGACCTCGAAGGTCCCTAGCAGCCCTGCCATTCTCTGATTCCCCTAAATCAGACCCACCTGCTGAAAATGCAGAAGTAGGAACAGCACCGAGACCGTGAAGAGCAGTCCCTTCATGGCCAGACCTTGCAGGCTGGATCACTGCTGATGCCACGGCCTCTGCTGTCACTGTCTGTGGTCCCTGGCCGGCTCCTTCTCCTTCATATAGGCAGCTTGGCCCAGCCCCCCACTGGCTTGCAGGACGTGTTCAAATATTTGAGACGTGGCTGGTGTTGGGCAATTGTTCACCCCTGCCCTTCTACCAGTCTCTCTTCACCTCTCATTCCTTTCCCCAGCCCTCGTGCCTCAGTGATATCGACCAGGCTCCAGGTTGGCCTTCTGATTGCTGAGTTAGGAACAGTGAGGTGGGAGCCTGGGTTAACATCCACTCTGGAGGCAAAGACCCTCACTAGCTAGCATAGCATGGCATAGGGGCTTGTGGGATTGGCTTTTGCCACTGTCTGTTCCATGACTCAGAATATTCTTGTTTCTTGACGAACCCTAGTATTCCTGCAATTGCCTTTGTGTGACCCATGACCCCACACCCCACTCTCTGGGTTTTCATTGACATGATGCAATCTTGGGAGCTTCTCAAAAACCACCCTCCTTTAGTTCACCTACCCCCCCCCCCGCCCCAGTTGCCACAGAGGAGCCTCAGAATTCAGCTCATTTTGCTCAAACACAGGCTTCCCATGAGAATATTAGATTAGATGCCATTCTGTTTTACTCTCCAGAAATAGGCCAGAGGACCTTGGCTCCCACGAAAGCCAGATTGCTTTTATTTCACCCCCACAGGCAATGAAAATTACACCAGATGCCCATTAACACTGGAGTTATCCATCTCTCCATCTCGTCTCCATGAGTCCTGTCTTCCCCACAGTGACCTATGTCATTCCAGATTCATAACCCTTTATGGTTCCAACTGCCCATAGAAATGAATTGGGGGTTTCTAGAGTCAACCTGTGGGGAGTCCTGCCCCAATCTCCTCTTAACGGCCTAGCAGGCCCAAGTTTGATCCCCCACATCCTTGCTGCTCCTCTAGCTCCAGGCCACCCATCGTTCCTCTCCTCTCTTCTAGTTCAGCCCTCTTTGGGACCATGTGGTCCCTTCTTTTCTGCCCCCTTGAAACTCTGTCTAGCTCCAATCTGTGAGCTTGGTCTTCTCTACAAGGTTGGATTTAGGAACTCAACACTATCCCAAACTCCCTCTTCCTGGGCCCCATAGATCCCTGCCACAAACCCCCTCATTTCCCTGGTTTCAAACCTTCAAAATCCTCTACATCTTCACCCAGGCCTGGAGTTGGGATGACTCAAGTTCCAATCTGCCCTCAGACCCTTCCTAGTTGTGTGTCCCTAGACAAGTCATTTAACCCCTCTATATCTTCACCCACCCCCTCCTCCTTTGCTCCAGTCTCTGAGAAACAGGTGGCTTTTCTCCTTGCCAAGGCTCCTCTACTTGTGCCCGAGATCCCCTCCCTTCCCTGGCCCCCTTTTCTTCTCTTTATATTGTCTTCCTTGGTGAGCTCATGTGCACTCATGAGTTTCACTGTCATCTCTATGCATGACATAGATAACTCCCAAATCTGTGCATCCAATTCCTGCCACCTGCCTACTGGACAACACCGTTTGGATGGCTCAACATGCCCAACGTGGAATTCATGGCCTCTACTCCATGCCCTCTCCCCCCCAAATCCCCCATTTCATCCCCCTTCCAAATCCGTCTCTGTTGAGGGCATCACCACCCCAGTCACCCAGGTTTGTAACTTACAGATGAGGAAACTGAGACCCAAAGGAGCCAAGTGATTTGCCCAAGTGCATACAGGTGCTAAGTGGCCAAACTAGGATCTGAACCCAGGTCTTTGGACTTTAAATCCAGCATTATTTTCATTACCCCACACTATCTTTGCACCTGAAAGGAAGGAGGTACATTTTCTCATCTTTTCTTGAGGCCCAAGATTGGGCATTACAAGTCTTCATTTTGGGTTTCGTTTCTAATAGCTGTCAGTGTGCAGACTGCTTGCCAGGTTCTGTTCCCTTCCCTCTGAATCCGTTCAGAGGAGTTTTCTCCTCTTTCCTGTTCACAAGACTACCCCCACTGCTTTCCCATTTCCTTCATTAACAGGCATCCACTGGGCTTCCAGGTTTCTGGTGCGACAAAGTCTCAGGCCAGCCTGGAATACACTGGCTCGGCTGTGCCTTTAGAGGCACAGGGAACAGATAAGCCCGAAGGGACCTCTGAGGTCGAGTTCAATCCCCTTCTGTTACACGAGGACACTGTGGCTCAGATCACATGGTTGCTAGTAAGGGGGCAGGCAGCATTTGAACCCAGTTCTCCATGGTTCAAAAGCTAACACTAGGACATGCTTTCCTCAATCTCAGTTCCTTGAGGGCAAGGACCATTTCCTTTTTGTCTTTGTATACCTGGCACATGGTAGGGTCTCATCAGACATCTGGGGATTCAAAAGACCAGGAACCTCCAGTCAATCTGTATGAGCCATTGGCTTAAACCTGAACCTGGCATTACCTCAGCCCTTCCGTGATCTGGCCATCATCCCTCACAGCCCCCCTGCCCCAGCCAAGTCAGGCCCAGTTCTTTCCTAACATGCCTGGTAGTAAGGGAGATCAATCCTACATCAGTGGCAGGGAACTTCTTTGAGGCCAGGGACCTTTTGCTTTTCACAGGTATATCACTGTGGTTGGTGCTCATCCCTGACAGCTGGACTGATCCAAATCAATTTAGATTTAGTTTCCAAATCAGAAACAAAAAGACCTCCACTTTTACTGTACCCCCAAACTGGGTAAAATTCTGCCTAGTGTGGGGAACCAGAATCACCTGAAGGAGAATGGAGGGTTGGAAGTTCCAAAGGTTAAAGGGAGGGGCAGTGGAGAAGCTGCCAAGAGATCCCTGGCTCATTCAGCTGGAAACCAAGGCCTTCCCCTCCCCGACGACGACTCCCAAGCCAAGAAAGTTCAACCTTTTCTTTAGCAAAAGTTGATTTATTGACCACAGCACAAAAATAGAAAACTCCCATTGTTCATATCATTTACGCTCCATCAGAAAGAACAGGCCACTTGGTACAGGCAGTGCCTCCCCCGAGGTGGTTGTACAAGGCCCTTCAAACCTGGCTCATGTGGTGGCAGAACTTCCTCAAGGAAGTGCTGGGCCCACAGCCACGGCCCTTGGCCTTACTAGAGTTTAAAATTAACAGCAAAGCTGTGAGTGACTGCCTGCCTTCCACCCCTGGCCTAGCACAGCGGGGCCTCCCACCCCATCCTGAAGTAGCATGCTGGAGCTGCCTGACTGTGGGCCCTCCACCCCCTCCAAAGGCTAGCTCCCAGTGACACACAGTCCATCTCGTGGGCTGGCTTTACTTGCACATAAAATGAGAAACCACTCAGTGAAACTTTCTGTCCTAGAATTTTTTTTTAAAAGAAGGCTGAGGAAGGGATCCGAGCTCCTCATTCCCTCTTCCCCACCACATACACATGGGTTGAAGAGACTTGAATCCTATAATCAATCAATCCCAGGAATCCTCCCTCAGCCCACACTTCCTCATAAGAAATGGGCCATGAGGGCCCAGGCAGCAGCTAGAGAATAATGGGGTTCCAGAAGGCCCAGCCACAGTGAGAGCAAAGGCTGTTGGCCCAGAGCAGATTCAAGAGCCATGAGTGCCCAGAACCCTGGCCCCTACCCTAGGAGGCCTCCCTGCCCCATCCCCCTCACCGAATCTGTATTTCAGACAAGCCCGATGGCCTTTTCCCTCTGGAGCTCAGGGCTGCTCTGCCCAGCCCTGGGCTGGGGCAAGCAGAAGTTCTTGAAGGGAGAACGTGAGACTTGTCTAGGGGTTAGGGCTGAGACTCTGAAAGAACAAGCTGCCACACCTTCAACCATATCAATCTCAAAGATTCTTCCCGCAAGATGGCTTCTCACCCAACAGGAAGAAAGAGAGTAGGAGGCAGGACCCCCAAAGGAACAATCTCCCAAGACATTAGGTACTCAGTTGTGTTCAAGGCCTAGGTTTGGTTTTTAAATCAATTGTGAGTATAAAAGTGAGGTGATCATCAGACAAAGAGTGACTGTGCCTGGTGGGGTGGGGGTGGCAGATAAAGAGTCTGGGGATTGGTGAAAAGAGTGCTGCACCTCGAGATCAATAGTACCCAGTAAGCAGGAGCCTCCTGGCCTCCATGCTCACCTGCAGGTACAGGACTGGGCAATCATGTCCTCATACTCTTTGTACAGGATGCTGCCACTGGCCTCAATCAACAGGACACTAATGGGCGTGTACTTGTAAGGGACGCAAGAGGGTCGAGGGACACTTCTATCCACCAGCTCATTGATAAGGTTCTGAATGATGGCATGGTTGGGTGAGTGGAGGCCAGAGTGTAGCACCCGTGGACAGGTCCCCTTGCAGTAGTTGGGGCTGTACAGGTGGGGGGCAATGATCCAGTTCTCCCAGCCCAGCTGGTGGAAGCTAACCTGGAAAGGGTGGAGAGAACACTGGGTCTGCTCCAGCGACTGGCCAGGTGCCTCAGAACTCACAGGGCCCACCTGACGGACTGGTCGGGCCAGGGAAAAGAGATCAGCTCCCCCAGGGTTCTCCAACAGAAGTTCTTGCAGCCCAGTTCGTGGCACATTCTTAAAGGTATTGTTGAAATACAGAACCAGGAAAGCAGTGTCAGTAGCCAAAGCCTGACTCCACCCGAGGCCAATCTGTGTCCTTTCTTGCTGCTGACACCTGACTTGAATGTGAAGGACTCTTTTCCCCTTTGCAGGCCAGACGTGCTGCTGAATGTAATCGGTGAGATCTCTCTCTGCCCAGGCCTCTGGCAGAGCAAGGCCCGGGGAGCCTTCTTCCAGGAGGATGGCGCTCTTGTGGGCCCAGGGTTCCACGTGGCAGGAGAGATGAGAGTGAGAGAGGCGGAGGTGAGGGCGGTAAGCAACAGTGGCCCTTACCAGCTGCTCCATGTCACGGTTTGGCTCAAGCAGGAAGTCTAGGGTTTGCACGTACCAGGGACCTGCACCAAGAAAATGAAGGTGACAAGAACAGAAAGTCAGCTTCCAGTTGCCCACAGGGAGTTTCCCTGACCAGAAGAGTTCTATTAGGCCTTCTCCCTTGGCGGCACAAATTATCCCTCTCAAAGCCATTAGCGGGTCAACAGGCCAAGTCAACAAGTGCTTATTAAGCTCCTGTATGTTAGGCACCATAGAGAGGGAAAACAAGCCTGGTCCTCAAGAAGCTTATGTTCTACTTGGAGGGAGGAGAGGGAAAGGGAAATCTGATAATGTGCATATGGTTAAGAAATCTGAGGAGGGAGAGAGCAATGGTAACTGGACAGTAGGGGAAGAGAAGAAAAGAATGGAGAAGAGAGATTAAGGATTTTGAGAGGCAAAGGAGGGAGGGCATTCCAGGCATGGGGAACAGGTAACGCAAAGGCCTGGAGACAGGAGATGGAAATGTCTCATTTTACAGAAGAGAAAACAAAGACCTGGAGAAGTTAAACCACTGGGCCTAAGGTTACAAAGCCAAGACCTGGCAGAGACAGGATTCAAACCCCGGTCCCTCTTACCCCAAACCTAGTGCTCTTTCTATGCTATCACTTTCCTTAGGGGGTGTTCCTACCTACCCTGATTCTTCATCAAAAAACCCAAATCTAAACCTTTCAAGGACTACATGCTCAGCAAAGATGAAAAGATGGAGTCAGATCCAAGGCCAATGTAGAGAACCCACTGGATGTGCTCTCCCTTCATTAGTGTCCCTTGCCATCCAGGAATCTCAGCAGACACAGGACCCCGGGCCAGTGGCAAGCTGGGACTCCAGCCATAGGCAAGGGAGCAGTTAGAGAAATGGCCAGCCATTCCGCAAAGAAATTCCCAACTATGGCCAGCAAGTCATTCAATTGTGTCTACCCTGGGACCAAAATATTCCTAATAGCCCTTGTTGTGGAAAAGGGCTAGAAATAATTACGCAGTGGCAATGCACTGGGCCTGGAATGAGACCAGAGTTCAAATCCAGCCTCAGAAACTTACTAACTTCATGACCCTGGACAAGTCATCTAATCGCTGCATGCCTCAGTTTCCTCAGCTGTAAAATGGGGATAATAACAACACCTACCTTGAAGTGTTGTTGTGAGGAGCAAATGAGACAATTATAAAAACGTTTAGCACAATGCCTGGCACATAGCAGGTGCCAGAGATATTCCCATTCTCCCCTCCTCCCCCGTGGAATATTACTGGGCCATGTGGAATGATTTAATTTCAGAGAGTCCTGGAAAGACTTGTAGCAACTAATGCAGAAGCATAGGGAGCAGAACCCAGGAGAACATTGTATACAGTGACTACAACAACGGAAGGAAAAGTTTGGAAAGGAAAAAAGATGAGAAGTTTTGCCATTGAGAGCCTTGGGCTAAGTGATGGCTGACGTTCCCCTCCACTCGGGCTGGGACCTCCCAAGCCTTCTGTCTAGCAAGCTGCTAGACAGACTCCTGCCGCCAGGGGCAGCAAGAGCTGTACATTTTCAGACCCCAACATGCAGACTGGCTTTATTTAAATATATTTATTTGACACAAGGGAAGTTTTTGTTTTTGTTTCAGTGGGGGAGGTGTTTGGGGACAGATGGGCAAGTGATCTTGGTGTCTGCCAAATACAAAATAGCAGCTAAGTTTGTTTCCCTCAAAGGAAAGCAAGCAAAGCTACGAAAGCCTGTGGGGGCAGGGAACTAGCTAAGTCCCTTTCCTTTGCATTTGATCCAGAAGGAGAAAGAAAATAAACAAAGGCACAGTCCCAGAAAGGGAGCTTCCGCCAGTTCCTCTACCCCAGCTACTGGTCCTTGGTTTGGAATTGAGATTCCACTTTGCTACTTCCTACCTGGGAGGTCTTGGACAAGTCACAGCCCCTTTAGACCTCAGTTTCCTCAGCTCTAAAATGGGGGGAGCATTAACTAAAAGTCCTCAAAGATCCCTCTAAGCTCTAAGTTTTCATTTTAATTAAGATGGGTCTCATTAGCTAGAGGAGAACTGAACTAGGGGATGAGAAGCTAGACACAGAAAGAACTCAGGACTGAAGGAGTCTCTCAGAGGTGGAGTTTGGAGTAGAGTTTACATCAAGAGAGAAGGTGCGGCACAGTGACTCCAAGGAGGGCACACCTACTGTGCACAGAGCCGAGGGCTTGGGATAAAGATGGAAAGAGTCTCAGTTCCTAGCCTCATGGATCTCCTGGCATTTAAATGGAGTTTAAAGACCTGTGTGAGCTGTTGGTATGATGTCTTCTCATGGAGGAGAGAATGGAAAGAGACCAAGGCAGTCAGCTCCCTGCCTCTTTTCTGCCAAGAGGGGATACACCTCATAGGGGTGTGTGCGGGTGCCCCCAAAGCCTGCCTAATGGTTCCTCTTACTGTACGGCTAAACGAAGCACCTCATTTTAGGGCCCGTGGAGATATTTGACTTTTCTTTCCATGAGGTTTAATTTTTGAGCTCGTGGAGTAGAAAGGGGGCAAGAGTGGGCACCAGGAGAGCCCTAGATTCCATTCTTAGCCCTGGGACTTCCTAGCTATGTGTTCACCTGCACCAGCCACTGCTCCTTTCTCTCTCTGAGCCTCACTTCCCTCGTTTGTAAATTGGAGACAATGAACATAAATTCCTTTGCACACCTTCTAAGGGCAAGAGAAACGTTGTCATTATTAGGCTATTCAAACTGCCCCAAGAACTGGAGAAAAAACCTGGTCTGTGCCGAACAACGATTGGGTTTACCTTCAGTCAACAGGTTGCCCAGCACCTCGGGAGACCCCCAAACTCCAATACAGATCAACGCACAGCCAGAGGTGCCCGTCCCACGATGAGGGCCCGTCCAAATGAACAGCCTTCCCGTCTCTGGGAAAAGGGGGCTCGGAGCCTCTTTTGTTCTCTGTCTCCTGTCCCTCCCCCCAGCCAGTTGGCCAATCTTTTGTTGTTTCTTTTTCTTCCTACCACCACCAATCCCCTTCTGTCTCCTCAGGCAGCCACCAGTCTGGCCCACCATCACCTCTCACCTGGCCTACTTCAAGAATCTCCTAATTAATGTCCCTGGCTCCAGTCCATTCTGTTAGCTGCCCAAGTGACTTTCCTAAAGCCCAGATTCAGGAATTCCTCAACGATGCCATTTCCAAGCTCAAGAAACTGAAGAGGTTCCCTAGAGTCTTAAAAATAAAATACAAGGACCTCCGTTCTGCTTTTGAAACTCTGGCTCCAGCCATCCTTTCCAGCCTTATATATGGTTCCCCTTCACACGTTCTATGGTTTAGCCAAATTTTCCTGCTTGGTGTTACTTACAGAGAAGTTTTGCCATCCCTTCCGTATTCTTGCACTGGTGCTCCCCCAAGCCTGGGACACACTCCCTTCTCACCTCTACCTCTTTCAATCTCTCGGTGCCCTCAAGGCACAGGCCTAGCACCACATCTTCCATGAGGCCTTTCTCGAGACCTCCACCTGTTTCATGCCCCTCCCATACTTTATGCACAGTCTATGTCCCCCCCCCCCAATGGTGTCAGCTCCTTGTGGGCAGAAACCTTGCATTCCCAGTGCCTAGCACATAGTAGGCACTTTGTAAATGCTCATTGGTTGTCTGTTATTGCCATGACCACAATCGAACATCTCTTAGGGTAGGAAGGGCCCTTGGGGATGGGTTGGTCTTTTATTTGAGAAGTGGCTGGGTCCTGGGGGGCCATATAGTGACATAACCCGAAGCTAGCTTGCTCTGCCTCTCTGGAAGAAGTGACTCACCTCCACTCCCAAGCATCTCCCTCCTCCTAGGCTCCACCCTCCCCATGTCCCCCTACTTCCTCCATTCTTCTGGCTGCCTCTCCTCAGGCCCCTGCCTGAAGGGCCTCCTTGGCAGCCTCCTCAGTCTCCCTCAGCTGAGGCAGAGCTGGGATGAGAAACCCCAGGCAGCCAGATTTTTCCACACCCACTCCCTGGGAGTAGAGGGAGTGAGGCCAGCTTTCCACCAAGCCTGAGGCTACCCTGACACCAAGTGGCTGACCCGGAGGAAAGACTGCTCAGACTGAAGGCTTGGGAGGTCCCAGCCTGAGTGGAGGGGAACATCAGCCATCACTTAGCCCAAGGCTCTCACCAAGGCCTCAGCCCCAGAGCTAGGAGGAACCAGGCAGACTGAGGGCACCTTTCCCTATACCCCCTGGGGTGCTCGGGGGCACTCAAGCACAGATGAGGGCTGGAGGCCAAAGTCATAGGCAAACACCAATGAGTCTTTTCCCAGGTTCAGACTCTCAGCCATCAATCAACCTTCCTAAAGTGCCTGCAGGGCCCCTTCCTTCCAGCCCAGGGAAAAAGACTAAGCCCAATTAAAGTCAGTTATCTGCCTAATTGGCTCGGGAGTGGGGTTTACAGGCACAGGTGCAATTGGCCTGCCAAGGCTGCTTGAGTTCCTACAGGTGGAAGGGAGTCAGAGAGCCCAGTAACCCCAGAGCTGTGTGACCTTGAGTGGGTCTCCTAAGGTCTCTGGGCTGAAGTTCAGGCAGGGGCCTCTTGGAGAAAATGAAGGGACTGGAGTAAATCATTTGCAAGGCCTCCTGCAATTTTAAATCTGAAACTGGGGTGTAGGAACTTGCTTTGCACAATATTTTTATCACCGGATTTCAATAGAATTGATTTCTTTTGTAATCCTACAAATCGTATTTGCTGCATTAGAAAATATTCTTCTGAGAAGGGGTTTAGAAGCTCCCTCAGGCTGCCTGTTTAAGGGGTCCAGGGTCCCCCCCCCAAAGTAAAGAATCCCTACTCTGAAGCTTGCGGCAGTGACTACTGGTAGTAACTCGGCAAACATGGATGTGCATTTAGCAATTCTCAAGCACGTGAACAGCGGAGGTGGCCTCAAGAGCTAAGACTGCCCCATTTGGCCTCAAGGGAGCTTCTCGAAGGCAGGGGCTGTCTTTTGCCTCTCTTTGTGTTCCCCAGTGCTTAGCACAGTGTCTCACACGCAGTAGGTACTTAATAAGGGTTGTTTAAAAACCAATGTTTACTAGCTTCATCATGACCTCGGGCAAGTCATTTATCTACTAGGTAGTGCTCAGGCAAGTCTCTAAAATTATGTAAATTCTGGCGAAGTTGTGAATCTGCAAGAGAAAAGGGGGCGCCCTCTACCTATGACAGCAAGTGTGTACGCCAAAATCGTGGTTATTCCTAACTGAAGGTGACCCGTATAAAGTGCTTTAAAATTCAAAGCACTTTACACACTGTCTCCTTTGAGCCTCCCAGCAGCCACCCCGTGAGGTAAAAATATATGCTATGGGCATTATCACCCCCATTTTACAGATGGGGAAACTGAGAACCGGGGGAGTGTAGGGGTCAGAGATCATTCACATTGACCACATTAAACCCCTGCCTTTCAGGGGCTGGCCTTTTAGTCCGGAGCTACTGGACACCTCCCACCCTAAGCAGGTACTTAAGGACCTCTGGCCGGTGCTGCTGGACCCTGGGGAGCAAAGACGCCCCATTGAGACCAGAGGGAGGAAGAAGGGAGGAGCCCTCTGTTCCTTTACCTCATCCTGGGCTTCCAGGAGCAGGGTGGGGCGCCTCAGCTGGGAAGTGGCGGGGTACTCACCCTCCCTCCCTGCTGCAGGGAAAGGGATGAGTCACATCTTGGCCCCGAGGCCCTGAGACCCGCAGGGGGCGGGGGTGAGGAAGGAAAGAAAGAAAGGAGGGCAGGTGCGGAAGCCTCCGCATGCTTCTCCAGCTTAGCGCCGCCACTACCACCCCTTGGAGGGAGGGCACCTTTTTCAGCCGCAGCTGGCGTCCCCCGTACTGGAGTGCCTCAGTTTCCTCCTCTGTAAGATGAGAGGCTGTTCGGGTTCGTTGGCCGCTAGGGTTCCCTCCCCTCCACTTCCCCCGCTCCGGGCCACTGCTCCCGCCCCACTCACCTCGCGGGGGTAGCGCGCGGCGGCCCGCCGGACTCACCAACCTTACGGCGTTGGCACTGAAGATGCGCTTCTCCCGCGGGCGCCCGTGCGGATCGGCGTTCTGCCGGTACAACGCCAGCATGTACTGTAGGGGGCGCCCGCGAGGCAGCCGCCGTCCGGGGGACTTCCGGGGCGCTTCTTGCAGCAGCGCCCCAAACAGGGGCAGCAACGTGGGCACCTGGGCCAGCGCCACAGCATCCTGAGCGTGGACACGCGCCTGGGAGCTCAGCCCCAGGGCAAAGAGCAGTGCCCACAGGAGCCAGCCTGTGCCCAAGGGGCCCATGAATGGGAAGAGTGGGGAGGGGAGCCGGGGGAAACCACGGGCACTCCGGTACCTAGGCTAGCAGACAGCTGGACTTGGGGGAGTCCTGGGGCCGGGGGGAAGGCATCAGCCCAGGGCTCGGCTCAGCTCAGCCTAGGTGCCCTCGAAGGGCCAAGGAGAAAGCCCGCAATTCCCGCTCGCTCTCCCGTCCTCCCTCACTCAGGTGATTCCCTGCCTGCCCCCAGACCTCTTATGAGCTGCCTAGAGGGGAGGGGAGGGACGGGCCGCGTGTGGAGGAGGCCCACGGTTGGCTCCCCCTCCAGGAAGCCCGCGGTCCTTCTTCCTGATTGCCAGCTGCTTTGCTAAAGAGGCAATGTGGATGAGAACTTCCCGGGGGCAGACCTAGAGGAGCGAGAATAGCATGCTCACTTCTCCACTTAAAGGGGCAAGCCAGACCCACCAAGACCACCAAGGCTTAAGGGCCCTAAGCCTCTCCTTGGCTTCCTCTTTTCCTTCACTTAAAGGGGGCAGCTGGTAAGAGCCAGCAGAAGAGGGCCCCAGCCTCCCCTGGGATGGGAGCAAGCAGGCCAGGCTTGGCCCTACCAGCCCCTGCTCTAAGGCACCACCAGTGGCTGCTCACTCCTACCCGGTCACACTCTGGGCTGCCCTTGAGTCAAGTCTGTTCCAACCTGGACTTTCTGCAGAAGCAGGGGAGGCACTGACGGACACAGGATCCCAGAATCAGAATCCCCACCATCCAATTCCACCACTGAATTGAGGTCTAACCCCACTGGTCCCACCTCAGTTCAGGGTCCCAGGCTAATTGGATCTCAAACGTAGGAGGGAGCCAAACCAGGCTGAGCTGTGCTGGCATCACCAAGCCCCATGGAGTGCTAGGGCTGAACTGGCCCCTAAATGGCCTCCCACTACAAGGCCTGCTGCAAACCTGCCTTCCTTGGAGGCTGCCTGGGGCCCTCCTTCCCTGATTTCCCCAGGAAGAGGAGTCTCAATTTTCTGTCTCCCCAGCACTTTGCACACAAGAAACAGTCTTTTCCATACATACATTTAGGCCCTCTGCACTTAAAATTTGTTCTGAGCATTGGAGGGCATCTCTTCCCCCACCTCATAGGGGAAGCTGCTTGAAAGCTTGGATTATTCTTTTCCATCTTTGTATCCCCAGTGTCTAAAACAGTCCAAACTGTGTACAAACACAATACCTTTGAGCTGGATTGAATTCCTGTCATTAGGCCTTTGTACAGGCAGAACCCTCCTGCCCTGGAATGCTCTCCCACATCACCTTCCCCTCTTAACAGCCTTCAATCCCTTCAAGGCTCAGCTCAGGTGCCAGCCACTGCCTATGCAAGACCTTTCAGGACCCCTCACCAGTGCTTGCACCCCTTCCCCTAGTACTTTGCGATTGTTAAGAAGTCCCGGACCTCTGATTTCATGATAGAGGACTCAAGATATAAAAACCCTCCATGTGTGCCGAGCTGTCTGTGACACCTGAAACTGTGTGACATGATCGTGCAGCCACTGTGTGTCAGGCAAAAGCTGGAATCTCGACCTACCTACCTCGAGGGTAGAGGTTCTTAACCTGGGGCTCAGGAACTTGAACATGTCCATTTAACAGATGAAGAAACTGCTTGGGAGAGACATCAAGTGCCTTCCTTGCCTAACTGTCTGAGGCAGGATTGAAACTCTAATATTCCTGACACAAAAGGGCCACACTGTGTCCACTTCGTTACCCTTCACAGGTGCTTGTAGAATTGAACTGAGCATTCCCAGCAAGACTCACCACCATCAGGGACTCTACCATGTCACAAAACAACCTATTCCCTTTCTGGACAGCACTTAATATTAGAAAAGTTTCCTAGTCAAAAGATATGAACAAAGAGCTAAAAAAGAACTGCTAAGTATTAACAAGCATAGGAAAGGACAACAGACTCACTAATAATGAAAGAAATGCAAATCACAACAACCCTGATATTTTTATTAGTCCTTCATTGTCTTTTTTAAAAATTTTCACATTAGTCATGTTGTAAAGAAAAATTAGAACCAATGGGAAGAATCACAAGATAGAGGAAACAAAAAAAAAAAAAAGAGGGAGAGCAAATAATCTCCCTGAGCATGGACATGCGCCTGGGAGCTCAGCCCCAGGGCAAAGAGCAGTGCCCACAGGAGCCAGCCTGTGCCCAAGGGGCCCATGGATGGGAAGAGTGGGGTGGGGAGCCGCGGGGAAACCACGGGCACTCCGGGACCTAGGCTAGCAGACAGCTGGACTTGGGGGGGGTCCTGGGGCCGGGGGGAAGGCATCAGCCCAGGGCTCGGCTCAGCTCAGCCTAGGTGCCCTCGAAGGGCCAAGGAGAAAGCCCACAATTCCCGCTCGCTCTCCCGTCCTGCCTCACTCAGGTGATTCCCTGCCTGCCCCCAGACCTCTTATGAGCTGCCTAGAGGGGAGGGGAGGGACGGGCCGCGTCTGCTTCAATCTGCATTCAAACTCCATAGTTCTTTCCTTGGATGTGGACAGCATTTTCCATCATGAGACTTTTGGAGATATCTCAAATCCTTGCATTGCTGAGAAGGACTAAGTTTATGAGTCAGTCATCATACAATGTGACTGTTACTGTGTACAACATTCTCCTGGTTCTGCTCACTTCACTCACCATCACTTCAGCATCAGTCCATACAAGTTTTACAAGTTTTTCTGAACTCCACCTGTTCATCATTTCTTATAGCACAATAGTATTCCATTGCATTCATAGACCACAACTTGTTCAGCCAGTCTCCAGTGGATGGGCATCCCTTCAATGTCCAATTCTTGGCCATCACAGAAAGAGCTGCTATAAGTATTTTTGTACATGGGGGTCCTTTCTCCATATGTATGATCTCTTTGGGATGCAACCCTAGAAGTGGTGTTGCTAGGTCAAAGGGTATTTACAGTTTCATAGTCCTTTGGTCATAGTTCCAAATTGTTCTCCAGAATGATTGGAGCATTCACAACTCCACCAACAATGCATTAGTGCTCCAATTTTCCCACACCTTCTCCAGCATATATTATTTTCCTGTTTTGTCATGTTGGCCAATCTGGTAGGTGTGATGTAGTACCTCAGAGTCATTTTGATTTGCATTTCTCTAATCGATAGTGATTTAGAGCATTTTTCATAGGATTATAGATAACTTTAGTGTCTTCCTTTGCATTTCTTTTCATTAATTCCCTTGATATTATGGACCTTTTGTTCTTCCAGATGAATTTTGTTATTATTTTTTTCTAGCTCTATAAAATATTTTTTTGGTGGTTTGATTGGTATGGCACTGAATAAGTAAATTAATTTAGGTAGAATTGTCATTTTTATTATCTTAGCTTGGCCTACCCATGAGCAGCTGATAATTTTCCAGTTATTTAGATTTGACTTTATTTGTGTGAAAAGTATTTTGTAATTGTGTTCGTATAGTTTCTGGGTAGACTCCCAAATGTTGTATAATGTCTACGGTAACTTTAAATGAAATTTCTCTTTCTATCTCTTGCCCTTGGGTTTTGTTAGTAATATAAAGAAATGCCAATGATTTATATGGGTTTATTTTATAGCCTGCAACTTTGCTAAATTTGTTTATTATTTCAAATAATTTTTTTACTTGATTCCCTAGGTGTGATCCTTTGTTTCTGAAGAGGACCAATGACATCACATTGCTACTGGAAAAAACCATAGCTTTGATTATATGGACCTTTGTTAGCAAGGTGATGTCTCTGCTTTTTAGTCTGATGTCCAGATTTGCCATAGCTTTCCTTCCAAGGAGCAAGTATTTTTTAATTTCACGACTGTAGTCGCCATCTGCAGTGATCTTTGAGCCCAAGAATATAAAATCTGACATTGCTTCCATTTCCTCTCCCTCTGTTTGCCAGGAAGTGATGGGGCCAGTTGCTATGATCTTAGTTTTTTGTTTTTTTTTAATTAAGCTTCAAGCCAACTTTTACACCTTCCTTTTTCATCTTTATCAAGAGGTATCTTAATTCCTCTTCACTTTCTGCCATCGGAGTGGTATCATCTGCACATCTGAGATTGTTGATATTTCTGCTGGTAACCTTAATTCTGGCAGTCATTCCAGGTTGTAGTTCTAACTGTAGCGTCTTCACCTGCATACAGGTTCCTCAGGAGAAAAATAAGATGGTCTGGTCCTCCCATCTCTTTGAGGACTTGCCACATTTTGTTGTGATCCACACAGTCAGAGGCTTTAGTGTACTCAATGAAGCACAAGTAGCTGTTTTTCTGGAACTCCCTTGCTTTCTCCATAATTCAATGAATGTTGGCAATTTGGTCTCTAGTTCCTCTGCCTCTGAAAACCAGCTTGCTCCTCTGGTAATTGTTCAGTGATTTGAACATTCTTTGTCATTGCCCTTCTTTAGGACTGGGACATAAACTGATCATTTTTAATCCAGTGGCTACCGTTGATTTTTCCAAATTTGCTGACATATTCAGTGCAGCACTTCTTTTAGGATTTTAGGATTAAAACTTCCATTTAGGATGGAATTCCATCACCTCCACTAGCCTTATAATTGTTAGTAATGCTTCCTAAGGCCCACTTGGCTTCATTCTCCAGGATGTCTGGCTCTAGATCAGTCAGCACACCATTGTTATTGATGATGTTAAGATCTTTCTTGTATAGTTCTTCTGTGCATTCTTTTTTTTTTTTTAAAGGCAATTGGGGTTAAGTGACTTGCCCAGGGTCACACAGCTAGTAAGTGTCAAGTATTTGGTCCGAGGCTGGATTTGATCTCAGGTCCTCCTGACTTAAGGGCTGGTGCTCTATCCACTGCCCCACCTAGCTGCCCCTTTTCTGTGTATTCTTGTCACCTCTTCTTACTCTTTTTTCCTTCTGTTAAGTCTCAACCATTTTTGTCTTGTATTGTGCTCATTTATGCATGAAATGTTCCCTTGATATCTTTGATTTTCTTTTTTTTTGTTTGTTTTTGGGTTTTTTTTTTTTAGGCAATTGGGGTTAAGTGACTTGCCCAGGGTCACACAGCTAGTAAGCGTCAAGTGTTTGGTCTGAGGCTGAATTTGAACTCAGGTCCTCCTGACTTCAAGGCCAGTGCTGTATCCACTGCGCCATCTAGCTGCCCCACTATCTTTGATTTTCTTGAAGAGATCTCTTGCCTTTCCCATTCTATTGATTTTTTTCTATTTCTTTGCATTACTCATTTAAGAAAACCTTAGCTCTCCTTGCTGTTTTCTGGAATTCTCCATTCAGTTGGATATAGCTTTCCCTTTCTCTTTTCCCTTTTGCTTTCCTTCTTTCCTCAGCTATTTGTATAGCTTCATCACACAACCATTTTTGCTTTCTTGCTTCTGTGTGACCACATCCAGCTTACCTTGGTTCATAGATCTTACATTCCAGGTTCCTTTGTAACATTGATCTTTACAGCATTGGACTTTCCTATCGTCACCAGACACAGGTGCAGCTGAGCTTCCTTTAGCTCTGGCCCAGCCGCTCTGTTCTGTCTGGAGCTACCCGTAGTTGTCCTCTGCTCTTCCCCAGTAACGTGTAGGACGCCTTCTGACCTGAGGGGCTCATCTTCCGGTGTCTTCTCTTTTATCATTTTACTACTGTCCATGGGGTTTTCTGGGCAAAGATCCTGGAGTGCTTTGCCATTTCTTTCTCCAGTGGATCCCCTTTTGTCAGAACTCTCCACCGTGATCTGTCTGTCTTGAGTAACTCTGCACGGCATAGCTCATAGTTTCATTGAGCTACAAAGCCCCTCCATCATGACAATGGAGTGATTGGGGGGGGGGGTCCCTCTGAGATTATCCCCAATTATCCTGTTTCTGTCTTCTTTGTACTTAGTTCTTTGCATGTTATTTACCTCATTAGAGTGTGAGTTCCCTGAGGGCAGGGACTGTGTTTTGCCAGTGCTTAGCAGAGTGCCTGGCACATAGTAGGTGCTAAACAAATGCTAGTTAATGACTGATGGGCCTGATTCAGCCCTGGCCAGATTTCCGCCAGCCCAATCTACCGTTACGCTAAAGCTTGGCATTTCTATGGAACATTCTCGTTGGCAAAGGGCCTGCTTCGTAGCAGTTCTGAGGGGAAGATAATCCAGAGCATTGGTCCATTATATAGAGGAAGAATTCACCTCAGGCGGTGAATTGGCTTGCCCAGCATCACAGTTAGCAAGTATCAGAGGTCAGATTTGAGCCCTGGTTTTCCTGACTGCGGCACCGGTTCCCTGTCCGCTGAGCCACACTGCCGACTCTTCTCTTTATCACATCCTCTTACAACTGACTTGGTTTTATGGAGTGTAGCTTTGTACAACACTTTTAGTGATGGGTATTTATTGTGTTGAACACAGTGCGTAGGTCCAGGGAAACTCCTTTCTGAAGAAACAGAGGCTGTTAGAGTGGAAGGACATGGCTGCTTCCTGCTGGGGGCAAAGGCAGCAGAAATGTTTGTGGGGAGCCCCAACTAACCAGCCTGGGGCCCACGGCACTTTGCCCGAAGGATCAGCAGCTGGGGGCAAGCTTTGTCCCACTGTATTCCCTTCCCCCTGCTCCTAGCTGCCCCCACCAGGGGCCCACTGACTCTGTTGTGCTGCCATACCCTAACGTTTTGGCCACGGCTTTCCCTGTGGATAGGAATGACCACATACCACAGCTCTGCCTGGATTAGCAGAATTCTAGACCCAGCTAGAATCTGTTGCCTGCCTTTGATTTCTCAGTTCCAGGCCTGTCCCACTCTGGATCTCCCACTGAAAACTGATCTGAAACCCACTGGCCTGGCCCTTATTGGCTCTGTCCCAGTTTCCCCCATGACCTGACTGGAGAACCTAGCTTGCATTCTGTGGCTTTCCTTTACTGAACCTGACCTCAGCCCCTCTCTTGCCCCTTGGCCCACAACTGCAGGGGTGAGGAAGCCCCAGAAGCTTGGGCCCTCACTTGCTAGGCCTGGAGCCACAGAGACTTTAACACTCAGAGATCATCCAGTTATAGACCATCCCCTACCCCACCCCGTTTCCAGATGAGTAACGATTATCCCAATTTAGATTTTCCCACAATCTTCCAGACCTGCTATATTTCCTGTTGTTGGATAATTTACACCCATTTCCCAGAAATGTTTGGCAGCTCTCTTGGTTGCTTCATGAAATCCGCCTTGAAGAGCAGACAGAGGACTTATTTAGGTCCTTGTTTAGAGATGCTCAGGCCCATGTGAAGCTGCTGACAGGGTCCTTGTTCATGGTAATAAGTCACTGATGCCCCTCGCCTGCCATCAGATTTCACACGCACTAATGGGAAGCTCCTTCTGCCCCAGGCTCTGGCGAA